ACCATTCCGTGATGTAGAGCAAAACCGAACATCACAACTTGTTCAAATCCTCAAGTTAGCCAAGTGGCGCGCTCGTTCCGTGGGGCCCCAACTCGTTCCCGCCGGGCCCTTTCCGGGGCTGCCCGGCCAGCCCGGAGACGCTGCCCAGTGCGACGGAACACCAGGGCCTCGAACCTGGGGCCACCCGGGTCCCTCTCTGGCCCGCGCAGTCCCCGGCTCACCTCGAAGCCGGGCTCCAGAACCCTCGCTCCCCGTGCACAAGCCCGGCCTCCGCAGACAATCGTCGCGAAAATGAAACCGCCCAGGCAGCGGCACGTCTCCGCCTCAGCCAATCAGCGCTGGTCGGGCTACGGCGGCCCACGGGGACCGAAAAGCCGGGATCGCGCCGGAGCGCGCGGATCCAGGCATTCCGGCGTGTCTATTCACAAGGTGGGTGCGGTGGGGTTAAAGTAGGAAGCGCTGGTTTCTTTTTCACAGAAAGCCTCATACCTGGGGGGTTGAAATCGAGAAGTGATCTTTGAGACGGATTTCTTTGCACAAGTATAAGAAATGGCTTGAATTCGTAGGAAGCTGAGATTTATAACGTAATGACGTTTCGTACCCAGTCGTTTTTTAAATGATCCAAAGCAAATCCATAAATAAAAATAGCAAGGCTTTAAATCCACCTGTGGCTCTCGATTGTGTGACGACCAAGTCATTATTAGGCAGAGATTGTTTATATGACGATGTTAATTGGTACAAACATAATTAAAATTACTAACCTAACCGAAATATAAAGGTCTTAATTGCACTTATTAAACTAGTGCCGAAATGGTGTGTGGACATGATTCAAGTATGGTAATAGGAACGTGGTTTGGAATCGGGCATGAATTCTCAATATTCCTCCTATCAATGGAAAGGGAGAGAAAAAAGAAGAAACTGTTAACACAAAACTGTTACACAAAACCTATGCACGCCTTAAAACTTACACTTTAATTACATCTGTAACACTCTGAACAGAGTGATAATATCTTCAAACGACAGGTGCCTAACCCTGTGAAGTGTTACAGAATCTGGAGATGCAGAAATTTTTTAAGACAAAAGTGAGTTTCTCTTCTTGTAAGCCCATCTTAGCTCAAGGCAGAAGAAATGAAATTTTGGTATTAGGGACCAAGAGCAATTGGCATCCCAACTGGTAAAGAAAGAACTTCTATCCTATAAAAGTTCAGTTTGGGTCTTTACCCAAACTAAGTAGTTACAGATTGATCAACAAGGCTGTATTTGAAATTCCTGAAACACAAAATACAATGTAAATAAAATGTTAAGTAAATCTTTTAAATACCATTTAAATGAAATAATTAGCTGCGCAGAACAAACATTAGTAAGATAAAAAGCCTTGACCCTGGAAACTTTCTCCACAAAAGACATTAAATTGCAACATAATCCTCACTGGTTGTTTCAATTATTCAGAGAATCAGTTTTTGATTCATAGTTTCTTTCCATTACTACAGTGCTCTGATGGAGCAGTTAAAAGTGCAGCAGGCAGAGAGCAATGAGGAGTTTTAAGGGGCTGGTTACTCTACAGAGCACCCCGAACCCTTTTGAAGGCCTGTAGCTCTCTCTGGGTCTAACTAGTCAAACAGAGTGGGCACCATGAGTTATTTTATGAGCAACAAGCTGATTAACAATTCGGTTGTTTCCAGAAATCCTTCAGCAGGTCAGAACTGACTTTTACTAACCCACATGGCAACTTGCCCTATTTTTGTCCTCAGCATCTTTTTCTTTATGAAAGAAAACATTGCAAGATATTTTCTGTATACTAGTTCTTCAAGAACTAGTTTTTCGAACCCTAAGCAGAAACATTCAGTTATTAAGGAGAGGGGCCAGCAGGTGGCTTGGTGGTTAAGGATGCTGGATTCCCATATGGCTAACCACGGTTCAAGTCCCAGGCCTTGTGGCTTGTTTTCTCACTTTCCCTTTCTCTCTCTTCTGCTCTATCCCTCTTTGGTCAAATTAAAATAAATAAATTAAATAAATAAATAAATAAATAAATAAATAAATAAAGTGAAGTAATTCTTTTAAAAACATTATTAAGGAGAATTCATAAAAGTAATTTAACAACGTCTAATAGCTTCCGTAGTTTCATTTTTGGCTTGTTGGCCAATAACTGGCTTGTTAGCTACAATTGGTTGCTAGAACCAATGAGCCTATGCTAACACATAATTATTGCCCAAAGTCAGAAGTCTACCTTGGGGTGCATCCTTGTTGTTTTACATTCTATAGGTTTTGGCAAATGTATGTCATGGCCACAATTTTTTAAATAATTATTTTATTTTATTTTGTTTATTGGTATTATATTTTTAAATTTTTGCTATATGGCATA